AATACCAAAGAAAGAAAGTATAAAGAAAAGTAAAACTGTGTTCATTTATTCTTTTAAGTGATATTAGACCACATCTAATTTTCAGGTGCATGAGTGTTGGTGCTTGCAAAAGTGATTGTGTTCATGTGTGCACGTGTGCATGTGTGTTTAATAAAAACATTAGTTGTCTGACTTTAATATGCTCAAATCCTTCAGCCTACTTTCCACAAACTCAGAAGAAAGTAAATTCAAACTCTCTTGAAGCGAGTAATGTGGAAGATAGCTATGAAGATACCAACTCATTTTCTCATGGGCAAAGAAAAAAAAGTCATTGACTTACTGTAGCTACTAAAGACAATCTCTATCATCAGCTAATCTAAAGCAAGGGAAAATAGGAGAGAAAAATGAAGAGAGACAGAAGAAGATAGAGCCTCATGATAATAAAGTTGAGCTGAAGAAGGAAGGGCAGGGGTGTCAGGGTCTGTCTGTGGTCCCTGTGCTATCTGAGTCCTGCCTTGCTCTCCCAGAGCTTGACCAGGCAAGATCTGAATGCTGACCCAGGTGGTCCACATCATCCCCTGTGCAGAATCTCATCTCAAGTCCTACTCTCCTCCCCTTTCACAAATTTCTGGCCCCACATCCTGCCTAAATACATTGTGCCCCAGACTTCTTCCAGTTTAGAGGTTCTTAATTAGAGATTGTGCAAATCAGCTATCACTACCAACTCTCCTTAAGTTGATAATTAGGTGACATGATTGAACAAAGTATTCAAAAGTGCATCCAGCCAGGAAAGCAACTGGACCACTTTATGCCTGAATTCTGACGTAATAACTCACACTGGGAATTGTCACCTGACCAAACCTACTAGCCAGTCTTATCCCCAGTTGGCCAAAATTAGTGCAGTCTCAGCATTTGGTGTGGGGATCAGCTGAGGACCTCTTGTCCAGATAATGGGATTGTCACCTCCCTAGATAACACTGTTCACTCCTTCTGACAAGCACAACCCCCTGTATTCTGCCACATGAGGGCCAGGTGTAGGTGGGTGGGTGGGAGGGCATTCTCTATACAAATGGACCAGTGAACAAGAGGCATTGATTCCCCACCTAAGTCTGCTCCTAGTTGCATCAAAACTGTTTACAAATCTGGAAAAAGCTCCAGCTCTGCCTACATTTCAGTGTCATTGAGGGAAGAGGAATGCCAAGCCTACTTTTTTTTTTTTTTTTTTTTTTTGCTGAGGTTTTTAACCTTTGACATTGGGTTCTAGGCCACTTAGTCTTAGGCATCTTGCATTTTCTGGATTTGTGTTGTCCATTGTTTATGCCTCTGTTTGAGTTGAGTCCCCCAGACTACTGAGTGACTGGATATGTCAAGCCACCCCCACTCAATACTAGGCTCACAGCTCTCAGGAGACATCCTCCCTTCCTAACAGAGATGCTTGAGTGACGACACCTCCCATCTCTCCAGCTTTGAGTGACATATTGATGGACCTAAGTTTTTGAAAGGATTAAATATAACCTACATTACTATATAGAAGTTAAATTCAGCTTACCTTAGTTTTCCCTCATGGATGTGCATATATGAGATCCCTTCCTTCTATGAGTTATTTGAGACAGATGGTAGTTAAATCTCTTGCACTGTAAATCATGAGGCAATTGAACCTCTGTTTTTATTCCAAGAAGCCCAAACACGAATTCTATGGAAAACTACATTAGAACAACCAGTTACCAAAGAGCAATAGAGCTGAATTTAAAAGACTTCTACAAGTGGGATTTGCAAATGCTGGTCCTGTTTCCCTAAGTGAGAACCAGCTATTATGATAGAATTTCTTTCTCCAAACCTTCAGAAGCACTTAGGGATTTTCTGTGCTAAAATGTCTTTTGGAGAAACTTATGTTATAAGATGAGAAAGAAACTGGAGAACAAAAATAAGAAACAAAGACCAAAACAATCCCAATATGGGTATCTCATGTGAAGGTGTCTCGCAGTGAGCCTGTTGGATATGTTACACATGCTATGGAATATTCATCTTGTCTCTCTGTGATATCTGCCTCTGCGTTTGGTGTTACTGAGCCTTGGAGGTTATCGTGTATGCCAGTTGTGTGAAATAAGCGCAACTGATAGGATTTAAAGGCTAAGAGTAACCTTTCTAATCCATCTATTCCCCATTCCCCGCCTTAGGCTATGCCTCTTCTGCAAGACTGTACAACATCCTTGTTCCTCTGACAGGAGCTGTGCTTATTTCCTGAATGTCAGTCAAAGCCTCGCTCCTTGAGGAGGTGGAGAAATGCAAGTTTCTCCTTCTGACTGAATGGAAAACAGCTATAAAGAATTTCTAGAATAAGTTGAGCATTTGTATTTTTGCCAACTGTACTTAACTTTTTTGCTTCTTTACTTCAGTAGTTCAGAAATGTAATTTATGTTTAGATTAATTAGTAAAATTAATTTGGAATTAATCATATGTGTAAAGATGAATTCATAATTAAATAAACCTTTCCATTGTGAATGATAGCTATGTGCTATCATTGTTCTAAGTGCAGGGGATACTTAGAAAAAATAGAAGTGCTGGAGCTTGTAGAAACAGGAGATAAATAAATGTGTAATAAGTTAAGAAGTGATAAGCTCTATGAAGAAGACTAAAGCCAAGTTAGGAAACAGAATAACAGGTTCTGGGAAGTGGATTATTATTTTATATAGGATTTTCAGGGAAAACCTCTATAATAAGGTAATATCTAAGTATATGTCTGAAGGATGTCAGGAGAACCATGCTAATATCTTAAGGAAGAGAGGACCGGTTTGGTTGACAATATTTTAAAAAGGTAATGTGAGTGGCCAAGAGAGAAAGCAGGGCCACTAGTTTAGAGGCCATCATAGTTAAGTCTAGGAGGTAGGGTGGATTGGACTAGAGTGATCATTGCAGTGATTGGATTGTGGACCTGTTTTGAGGACAGAACTGCCAGGAATTCCTGATGGATCAGTTGTGAAGTATGGGGAAAATAAAGTCAAGAATGACACTGAGGTTTTAACATAAATAAATAGTTTCTGTTTTCTGACATGGTAAGTTTGAGAGAAGAGCCTGTTTGGTGGATGGTAGAATGATCAAGAATTCAGTTTGGGGCATGTGGGGTTTGAGCTGCCTGCTGGACATCCATGTGACCAACTGAGAAGGCGGTTGGGTATTAGAGTCTGGAGTTCAAGGTGTGAGGCTGGGGCAGGAGAAGCAAACTGAAGTGTCATGAGTATGTGGATGGTGTTAAAGCCATAGGATTGCATGAGACCATCCATGGAGTGAATGGAGAAAGGAAGCAACAGGTCTGAGAATGGAGCCCTGGGCATCTCCAAAGCAGAGGTTGGGAAGGAGAGTGGCTTCTGATATAAGAAAGCCAAGAAGAAATGTCCCAGACTTAAGGGGCAGAGGAAATCATTCCAAGAAGGTACACAATCACCTTTGTTTAATGGCTGTTTAACTAGGGTAAAATTAATACTAAGAAATGGCCATTGGACTTGGGAGCATATACATCACTGGTTACCTTGATGGAATCATTTTTTTAATGAAACAATGGGAAGAAAACTTCCAAGGAATGGGTACAAGGAAAAACAGAGCAGAGCTAATGGCAGCAGGGTATGAGGACAATTTCCTAGAGAGTTTTATAAAGAAGGGGAAGGAATATGGAGGAGCTGTGGCATCAAGGGAAGGGCTTTCTATTTCTCAAGAAAAGAGATATATCAGCATATTTGAATGCCAAAGGGAACTATCATCCAATAGAAGGAGAATAAACAGTGGTGCAAAAAATGAGAGGGAACAATTAAAGGCAGAAGAGGTTGAGATCAAGTATACAAGTAGAGTGTTTGGGGAAAACAAAACGTGCTGATACAGGTAGAGGTGGGTTGGCAGGTTTGGAGGAAGTCTTTGGAAGGTTAGCAGGTGAAAATAAGACAGAGGAGTTGGAGGCTCAAGGAAAAAGGAGCACTTGTAACATAACAGTGTGGAAGAGTGAGTTGGCAACATTAGTGTTGCTCATGCTTCCCTACACCTCAAAACCACGGGGAGGGGGGTGGGTTTGGGGCTTGTCAAAACACTAATTAAATCACTTTAAAAGTTTTTGATTGAGTAGATCTCAAAGGTACCCAAGAGTTTCCAATTTTTACTGGTTTCCAGAAGATAGTGTGCTGCTGGCCCACAGATGAGAATTTGGGGCCCACTGGACTGTTGGGATGAGTGGTAAGGGTACCCTTAAAGGCTGTCTGGTGCCTGGAAGTCATCCATGAAAGTGAATTTGTCAGCATGGTTGTATGTCCTTGTCCTGCCCTGTTCCGTGGCTCAATAGCTGTCAGAAGTAGGCAGTTAGTTGGACTGAATCAGTAAAAGAAGCAAAGAATTGATATCACCAGGATACTTGGGAAGGTTACTTCTCTGTGATGTCTTTGTATGCTGAAAATGCAATGTGTAACTTTTTTATTATAAATAGGAAGGATTAGAGGCTGAGAAAGAGTAAAATGAGAGTTTGTGGTTGAAGTTCAGTGTTGTAGGGCTTAGAAGTAAAATGGAATAATAGCCACCTCTGGCCTCAAGGCAAGGAGAAACTTAAGTCCCTTTCCCTAAATTCCTTTTTTCTTTTTTTTTTTTTTTGTTTTCTTAAGGGGCAAATTTTTGAATTTTCTTTTGAAAACTTCATTTTTTTTTTTTTTTTTAGGTTTTTTTCCCAACTTGATTTTTAGGGGGTTTGGATTTTTTTTTGAAATTTTTTTTTTCTTCTTCCAAAAATTAGGGGTTATTTTCTTGGGTTTTCCCCTTGGGAATTGGTTTTTGTTTGTTGCTTTAGGGGGAAACTTGGGTTTTTAGGGTTGGGGCCCCCGGTTCCTTATTCAAATCGGGGGGAAAGGACTTGCTTTATTTCGGACCGTTTTTGTTTCGGTTGGTTGGTTTTAGCGGCATTTTAATTTTGTTTTTTTTCCCCTTTAGGAGTTCTTTTTTAGTTTTTTTAATGTACCTGATGATCTTCTTTTTATTGAAAAACAAAACAGATTTTATTGGAGCCAGGCGTGATCCAGGATGTCTTAGCAGCTGGCAGTCACCTACAACTGTTGGAGCTTCTCAACTTATGTTCCCACTATCTTATTCAGGTATGTGAGCTTACCTCCTGACCATGTGCCCTTCACATTCCCTTCCACTGTAGTTGTAAGCTGTCCCCCATCAACTGGAGCCCAATGATAGGTAAAATGTGTGTATGTGTGTCAGGGGTGGCCTGTGGTGGTACAATTTCTCCAGAAAACTCTCCTAAGAGGGCAGCTACAGTTCTTGTGTCTGCAGATGTGAATGTTCCCCTCCATCCTCCCTTCTGCCCCAGGTCTCCACTATCCTCAGGCAGCAGATTAATTCAGTAACCATGCCCAGGCTTCTCTGTGGGACCCTGGGGTAATGACTATGGAAAGTATCTTGGTCTGAAGTAATACTGTCTGGTTTTGGAAATAACCACTAATACAAGAAAGTCAAATAGCAACAGTAACAGTATAACACAAAAGTCATACATGATTTGTTACCATGTAAACTTCCCAGGCTGTAAATGCTGGAGAAGGAACCGGTGAGCTGAACACCCTTGCTTCCCTGATTCACTGGCCCTGTGAGGTTGGCGGGGCGAGAGAGAACCTCCATTCTCTGAGCACCTACTGTGTATTCACAGATGTTTCACATTCAGCTCTCAAAACAGTTTTGCATATTTTTAAAAATGAAAAATTAGAGAATTGAAATATATTCTACTTGCTGGGGACAATTTGACTGGTAAATGGTAGGTCTTCTGATTCCCAGGGCCTGTTTGCCCCTTGGATGAAAACTCTGTTGGGTAGGAAAATATAGGACATCTTAGGCAGCCTCCTGGCTGTGAGACTTTTTTAATTTTACAGAAAGCTAAGAAATAATTTCCTATTTTAGGATTCTTCCATTTCCCCCACTGATTTCACTTTGACTTGCAATTATTACAGCATTACAACAGTAATGAAGATTAATTTTAAAAAACAATAAATCAACACAATTTTATTATCTTCATGCATGTAACATAATATTAGTGAGCAGAAAAATCCTGTTTGTTTTCCTGCCCAATTATTTTATTTTCCTTGCTGATCGTTTTCTCTAATTCTAAATATGTCCTTTATTATTGACTTCTGTTACCCACTAGGTAGTTTACAAAGCTCTTTCTCATGTAGCGTCTTATTTCATCTTCCTACCAGTGCTGGGAAATGGGAACCAGTGCTTCCCAGGGAGACAGTGTGAGGAATGTCAGCCATTCTCACCTCAGGAGCAATTCAAACACAGTATATGAAATTTTTATCATTATCTTGGCACATTTAATCTTGACAGTAAATGTTTAACTTTTTTATCTATTTTCCTTCCTTTTCCCCTCAATATTGTTGGGTGGTATGGGAATGTTGTTTCTAATTCCTTTCTGCCAGTAGCAAATGGGAATCATATAGAAAGGTTACAAGACTTTGAAAGTGCATATTTGACTTGTGAAATTGAAGTTACTTTTATTTGACATTTCTACATCAAATACTGCAACTAGAGTTTTAAGCATCATTGGCTGATTCACTTTTTCCATGGCAGATAATAATCAGTGATGCATGTTGACAAGTTTGATTAGAGTGCTAATTATCATGATGCACATTATAAATGGTGTGTATATACGGTATGTGTGTGTATATCTTTACCTATGATTTCCTATAAATGGGAATTGCAAATGAACATTAGAATTTTATGTGTATTTTGCTCTGCCCCATTAGAGGAATTTGTTGAGCTCTTCAGTGACTTGTACTCTTTGGGATTGGACTCTTGTGCTTCTTTAGTTTGCTGACATGGAAGTGAAGTTAGCACACAGACATATTTTGTGGCAGTAATTATTCAGGCTTCTTGAACAGTGGTTGAAACTTTCAGTCTTTTCACAAAAATATTTTCATTTTATTTTCTCACATAACTTTACTTTCCCTTTTTAAATTATTGTTTTTTTAGTTGTTAATGAACCTTTATTTTATTCATTTATTTGTATGCGGTCCTGAGAATCGAACTCAGTGCCTCATACATGTGAGGCAAGGGCTCTCCCACTGAGCCAGGACCCCAGCTCATACTTTCTCTTTTGATCTTCAATTATTGCAAGATCTTGAACTTGTAGAAGGAAACTTAAACTGTATGAGACCAAAACCATGTGTATGTAGAAAACTTACTACTTTAATCTTTTAAAAGTACATATATATCTTCCTTCTCTCTCAGGATAAAAATTTTTATTGTATTAGTCTGCTTTTATATTTTAAACCAGTCTTAAAGCTGTACATATTTACTAATTTTTGGCAATATTACTCAACTAATTTTGAATTTCATGTGGGACCATTTTGTTAAGTATATGAAAATATTTTTGTTAAAATGAAAAATCCCCAGTGCTTAAAATGTATGAAAAGTTATAGCCTGCTAATCAATAAAAGCTGATATATTTCTCCATTCTTGTTTGGTACTTTGTTCAAGTAGGGAGTTTTTGAAACTGTTTTCCTCACTAAGATGTCTGGTATTGTTTTGTTGTTCTTAAATTTCCATCTTTTTTGTTTGTTTGTTTGTTTCCCCACTGAAACTGTGAAGGATAGACCCATCTTCTAAGACCCAGTGTTGTTCTCCAGTGCTCATTAAAAGGCATGTCCAGGGAGAACCCTCAGTGGGTCTTCCCTGAGCCTTCATGGCCACCAGCTATTGTCTTGGCCTGAAGCTCCTCTGAATACCTGTAAATATTGCTGCTGCCCTTCCCTGCCCTCTCCCCCACCCCCCAAAATAGAAGAGACATTTTGAGTCCACTCTGCTGATTCCTTTCTCTTGCTCATCCTCTGGCAGGCTGCTGAGGGTAGAAACCCCAAACCCCAAGCCTCAAGAACAGTACCTCTCATGTCAACAAAATTAGCTATTGAATTAGCTTCTGAGGGCTGTGAGGCCTTCATACAGGGTCTCAAAGCATATTTGTGGAGACAAGGGAGAGGCCGATATGGCAGGGAGTGGGCCACAACAGTTAAGAGCCACCCAATCCAGTTAAGGGATTTACAAACAACCTTTCAAGTCTGCATTCTTTCTTGCCAGTTTTGCAGTGGGATTCCATAGGACTCTCTCCTGTGTAGCCTGTCATGATAGTATACTAAGATCTTTCCGACTTTTGTCTGCTATTTGAGATTCACAGCCTAGATCCAGTCCCAGATACAATGTGAAAGCTTCTTTCTCTTTTCCTTGTTCACTGGGCTTTTCCAGAAAATTTCACCAGAAAGGTGCACCAATTAATTAAAGAACAGTTCCTGCCTTTCAAACAGGTCCTGGTAAAAGGCACAAATGACCTTGCTTTTCGCGTTTGTGTGTTGACATATATTTTATTCACTGTTTTAAATATTGTTAAGGAAACTCTAGAATAACAGTTTTCAGAGTGATAGGCTACAGATATGGATTTCAACATGTCCAATGGTATACTAAGTTTCTCATATAAGTGTTACAAACTTTTTGAATCTGGTTTGGTTCTCCAAACTCTGATTTTTTTTCCTAGTCAATTTCTTTTCTTTTTTTATTTCTTATTTTTTTTAGTTGTAGTTGGTACAATATCTTTATTTATTTTTAATAAATTTTATTTATTTATTAAAATTGGGTCTTAGAAGAGGGGTCTACCCTTCATACTTCCAGCAGAGAAACAAACAAACAAACAAACAAAAAAGATGGAAATTTGCTGAAGATCAAAACCAGTGCTCACAAGGCAAGTGCTCTACCACTGAGCTACAGCCCCAGCCCCTTCCTAATCAATTTCTAACTAACTATTAAACATCTCCAGCTAAGTATCACATTCAAACTTCATGTATGAAAACCTGCCCTTCTCTATACTGACAGTACATTATTCTGCTTGTTGCCTAAAATCCTGTGATGTTTTAGATGCCTTCCTCACTACCCTATCCAATCAGTCACCAAATTAGGTAGAGTCTACGTCACAGATGTCTCTCCCACTTCATCCTTTTCTCCAGCACTAAAGTTACTGCCTTTCTGTAGACCCTCACCCTTCTTGCATAAGGGCTACAATTAGGTCATAATATTCTCCTAAGAGATTTGCTTGTTTCTGTACTCTATCCAGGCCAAACCCTAGTCCTTTGAGCATCATTATCTTTCCCAGGAAAGGGAATCAACATTTATAGAGGACCTATCAGTGCTGAGTGTTTGGCAAGGACTCAGCTTTCCATTCTGTTAAGTAACCTCTTAAGGCAGATAGGTGGTATATTCTTTTTACAGATGGAATAATTTACATGCCTAAAGAAGGTGTTAATCTTGTTTGGAAACTTCCACCAACCACCCTGATGGAATGGTCACCTACAAAAATTCTCAGTTCTATGTCTCTCGCCAGGCTAATTCCTCCCGAGCCTCATCTCTAGCCATAATGCCTTTCCTAGCCCACTTTGATCTGAACCCTGAGACAGAACTTTAATAGGGGACTTGTCATCAGGGGAGAACAGATGGTGGAGATCTTCAGGCTTTCCATCTCCCTTAGAAAATAATGAAGGGCAGGAGTGAATGGAGAAAATACACACACACACACACACACACACACGCACACGCACACACACACCATGTCCTGTGCTGATACACAAGGTCATAAGATCAGGAGTATTCAACCCTGGACTCTGTGTTGTATCCCCTGAAAGTGACGCCTTAGGAGCCATATGCTTTACTAAAGATGCCATTTTTTTGTAGTCAGCTTTCTAAAAACAAAACAAAACAAATGCTTTCTATATTTTGTACCACCTTCCCCAAATAGTATAGGCTATTGCTTGAATAGCTAGTGTTCTTTCTATTCACCAGGTATTACAGCCTTTATAAAGATATGTAACTTGAATGTGTTAATAAGAAAGAACATCACATAGACTTCCAATAAAACAAAGTAGTGAATTCATAAACTCCCTTTGAAAGGAATGTGCTTCTAATATCTATTCCCAGGCAGCAGGTGGCAGTGTGAATCCACCAGATTTTGGTAGTTAATTTAAAGCAAAAATCAGAAAAAAAATGAAAAGAAAAATTATTTATTTTGCTACATATTAGTCTTCTGACCTAATCAGTAAAAAAGTCATTATTCACA